TATAAATTATTTTTTAAAATTTTAGTTTACCGAAAAGGAAAACTCCATACGAAATCTACAATAAAAAAGAGTTTTTTTATTTATTTATTTTTTTTTAAGGTATAAGTAAAGAATTTTAAAAATATAAAAATTAATATTTAATTTATTAATTGTTTAATAAGTTAGAGAAATTTAATAAAAAAACGAAATACGAACCTGAAACGGCAAGCAATCACATCGTAGCACGTTTCCTATAAAAAAAAAAAATCCAATCCGCTCTCCCGCCATCGCAATTTGCCCCGCAAAAAGATTCTATAATTCAACGCTTTCCCCTTATCACTTTCTTATTCTCTGCATTCTCAAATTCAGCACTCAAAAAAAAAAAAACTTTTTTTTTTAAAGAATCCCAAAAAATTTTTTAAAAAAGGGGGAAAGAATGGAGCTACCTGTGATAGATCTGGAGCAGTACTTGAAGATCGCCAGCCAACGCGACGGTGACTACTCCGCCAATGAAGCGGCTGACATCGGCGCTGGATTCGGTAAGTTGTGCGGCGAGGTCAGTCGTGTGCTCAAGGAAACTGGGGCATTGTTGGTCAAGGATCCAAGATGTACGGCCGAGGACAACGATCGGTTCCTCGACATGATGGAGAAGTATTTCGAGAGTCCACCCGAGTTCAAGCGTTTGCAGGAGCGCCCCAATCTACATTATCAGGTCAAATTTTCTTTTTAAAATTATGAGTATAATTGGAATTTTTTTCTTCAAAGGAATTGTTTATTCTGAATAAGAAAAAAAAATTGGCTTGCTGTTTGTTTGGGTTGTTTCAAGTATTGGGTTTTTTTTTTTTTTTTTTCAATTTTGATCTGGACTGGTATTTGGGGTCGATTCTCGTCGAGTAAGTGTAGTGTGAGGATGGGCAAGGGGAACAACTGTTTCGAAAAGAAGTGATATAGGATATGTTGTGATTCGTCATCCTAGATTTTTCGTTCATGAAATTGTAGTTTCTGTAAGAGAGGGGATGGGTGGTTGCATGTTTGTAGGGATGGTTATATGTATATTGGGGCGGGATTGCTCTTTCATATGTGGTCACTATGTTGTTGTCCATCTTCTTCTTCTTGTTGTTGTTCATTTCTCTTCAATAAAAGCGTTTAATTTGCTCTATTTTTTAAATTTTTTTATGGGAAACTAATTTTATTAATATAACTAATAATAAAAAATTTTTTAATATGTGTTCTTATGATATAAGTTAAAAATATAATAAAAAATTTAAAAGTATAATTGAGAATATGAAGAGCTTAACATGAGGTTTTACCTTTTTTTAAATTATTTGACAAATTACTTTTTTTTTTAAAGGTATTGATGGTTTTTTAACCTTAAAAACCTTAACTTCTTCCCCTTACTCTCACT